GAGTTTGAATGGGTTAGAAATAGTACATAGAAGGGAAGTCTGATTGAGTCTAATGGGCTTCAGTGTGTTTAGATTTGAATTTTGACAGTTGGAGTTTGTCGGAATGTTCAGGTGAGCAGAGACTTTTCAATGTAAGTCTATGGGATTTTTATGATTTTTAATATTAATTTTTAAGAAAACCATAAGTCCGATCAGTTAGAAAAGATATAGCACACCCGGTCAGAACAGTCTGAAGAGCTGGGCTGAGTTTGGAGTCTGTAGAGTTAAAGCTCTAGGAGGAGATAGAGTTGATAATTTAGGATCAGAAGAATAATAAGAAGTTTAAATAGCATTTCAGTAAGTTGGCTTTCACAAGCCAACTTAATAATACACATTACTGTCATTAATAATGATTTATGAATTATTATTATTATTCAAAAGTAGACTCTTTATATCATAATACATTATTATTATGATGAATATTGTCATTAATAATTAATCATTAATATTCTATTCTATTAATGAAATGTAGACTCTTTAATATAGATTTCTATATCACACTATCCTATATTGTTGAAATTTTTGTGACAAATGAATGAAGCTTTCAGAGAAGACAACGAATATTGAAATTAATAGGAGTTTTGAAAAATGAGATGAAGACTCCATGTGTGTCAGCAGCCTAATAAAATATTTTTGATCATGAATATTGAATATTTAGATTTTTGTGTTGGTCGCCTAATCTTGGCCGACATGTTGACATGACCAGCTATCTACCAGCAATTCTACTGACTTTATTTCTGTAATTCTTCATTTGGAGCAGTTTTAGAACAATGGCATCAGTAATTGAAAACTTCTGCGGGATACTGCATCAACACCTCTAGGTGTCAGTATAAGCTCAAGATGACATGTGGGCCAAAGCAACATAAACAAAAAATTACTGAGTGCACCTTGTTGAGTCCTTGGAAGGAGTTGACAGCAGTGTGTCGCGTGGCGGCGTTACAGCATGAATCAGTGCTAAGCTCAGTCTAATTTTCTAAGTCCCTATTTCAGTTGCAAACTCATCACACAGACAACAGCCTGTGGCTATTTCAGATGAGACTCAGACAGACAGAGAGAGAGGAGGGTAGACACACTTTTTATGGAGCTCTCTCGTTCTTTTCCACCACTGATTAATTTCGTACTAGATCAGTTGGCCAGCAGTGTTATTAGCATACAATTTCCATGGATCAGGCCCTGCAATAAAACCCTGTCATCAAGTCACTTGTCAAACACACAATTTCAAATCTCATTTAGTTTCTAATATCATTTTCATACCAGGCAGAGGGGTGCAGAGAGAGGTGGAGGGCTAGAACAGAGACGGGAATGTGTTATGTAAAGGATAAACGGAGTCATCGATCAAAATTAAAATAGCTTCATGATTAAAAATTCTACGGATCAGCATCAAGTGTTTATCAGGTGAAGCAGACAGCAGGAGGTTGAGAAGCACTGGATCTCCTAGAGCAGTGTTTCCCAACCGGGGTGCCATCTGTCGAAAGCAGGGGTGCTGTGTAAAAAATCCTTTTTTAATATTTTTAAATTGCTAAAATTTTCCAAAAAGCATCTATTATATAATAGCCATTTCTGATGTCGCCAGTAATTATAGATGCACCGAAATTTCGGCTGCCGAAAATTAGTTCACCGCTCAGGTTTCACTTTCACGTGGTGTGACGCTCTGCGTATTATCCCGCTCTATGCGTGTGCGCTCCGCTCAGTCGCTCCACTCGTATACCGTAGCTATCTCACAATGTTTACATATGAATAAGAGCCCACATTAAAGTCTGTCATATAAATTGGTCTCTTCATCAGAAATTAGCCTTCTGATTGCCACCATTGATGGACAATTTTTAATATTAAAAATATCTGTATGACATTATATTCTGCAGTTCTTCCCTGTTGTACTGAATATCTATACTTTTCAAATTATCATATTGAAGTTAGAAATTCAAATATTGTGACAAAATTAATTTTGTAGGGTGCCACAAGTTTGTTAAAATTTCCAAAGGGTGCCGCGACTAAAAAAAGGTTGGGAAACACTGTCCTAGAGGACCTCAAGTGTTACACAAGCAGTCAGCATTTGCTATAACAATAATCTAATGCCACCGTGAAAGAAAATACATTTTTTACATAATTTTCACATTTTGTAAATAAAATCAATGCTCCCTGATGCACAAAACTAGCCAACAAGACACTAAAGGCCTGTTTTTCAACCAAGGGCAATAACTATGACTTTAAAGTTTGATCTAATAATCAATCTAATTCTATGAGAATAGAGACGTCCACACCATAAGGATAATAATTGTTTTTTTTTTCAGCTGATTGGATGATAAAAACATTGACAGCCAATCAGAATCCACCTGACTTTAAGAAGCTTGAGCATTTAAAGTACAGATGACATAAATTCAGTGTGCACTTATAAGAAACACTATGTTATCATCCATTGATGTGGATACTGATGAAGTTATTGGTTATCTTTATAGTTATTGTTCTAGGTATGAATGGGCCTAAAGCTTTTGTAGGTGGTTGGTATGTAGTTGCTAAGGTGTTTCTGAGCACATGTGCTTTCAGGGGTGTTCTGGGTATTGTCTAGGTCAGGTTTTTCCAAACGGGGTTTTGTTGATGAGAAGCTAATAATTAATTATATTGAATATAAAGTTAAAATAAATAAATGTGGCTGCACAATACGATCAGTCTCAGAGAGGCACGGTTTACATTAAATGCAGTGAACTCCATGTCTGCTTGTGCAGCGAGTTTAATGTGCATTTTGGAATGCAACATGCATTAGGTTTTATTTATTTACACATTTGCACATTATCCAATATTTCTGTGGACAGAAGATTATAGTATTGCAAAAATAAAAAGCAAAAGGATTTGAAATGTTTAAAGTTCAAGGGTTTGGACATGAAGCTTTAAAGCTTAAATTAGATTATTATCGTAATTATCATTAAATGTTCTGTTTTTTATTTTACAGTACAACTGTAATTTACAACAATAATATATTTCTGTCTTCATCTTTGTAATTTGAGATAATATAATGCATTATTATTATTATTATTATTAAATACCAGTGTGAATGTAATGTGCACTGAGACACTAATAAGGTGTTTGAGTCCACTTTAAAGTCCAGCAAGAAATTCAAACGTTTCAAAACAAATCAAAACAAAACCAAACAAACAAAAAAACAATACAAAAAACGAAACAAAACAAATCAAAACAAAACAAAACAAAACTAACAAAAATAAAAACCAATACAAAAAAACAAATAAACAAATAAATAAATAAAACAAACGTATTGTATAGTTTCGTTTAATGTATTTAGGAGCTATTCTCTAGGAAACTAATAAATCTTACTAATAAATAGCACACAGCCATTTAATGAAACTTCTACTGACTCATAAAGTGGCTGCCACTACAACAGTTTTTCAGATGCTGTAATAGAGTATGATAAACATTATTTTCATACCACACACACACACACACACACACACCTAAAGAGCCAAGCTGAAGGCACAGGCACTAATTATGAAAAATAACACTGGTTTGGAGAGAGTAGAGTGGGGGGGTGGCTGTTTCATTTTAATAAGGACAGAGAATCAATGCAATTTAATCAATCTTCCCTAATTAAAAAAAAATCTATATTGTGAAACAATCAAGGTGCATAAACAAGATTAAAATAAATGAAGGAACTGTGCCATGAGCAAGGGAGGGCCTAATTAAAGGGAGTTAATTGGAATTCCATGCCTAAGTGTGGATTGTCGATGCAGCAGACAGGAAATATTACACGAGAGTGCGCTCACAAACACCCTTCAGCTAAACACACTCAAGCACTTCACCACAACATACCCACACTTACTCCAGATCTTTTTCAGGTCTCAATACCCAGACCGGCCAATTTGTGACTTTTAGTGTGTTTGTACTGTGTGTGTGTGTGTGTGTGTGTGTTTACCTGTTTGTAAAGGGAGTCTGTCTCTCGCTGGAGCTGTGCCGTGTTGTGTTTGTTCTTCTCTATCACCTCCTCTCTCTGTTTCAGGATCTCCTGAAGTCTGCTGACCTCCTTCTGTAGGGGCACAACCTCCACTTCCCTAGACTTGACCTGCTGCATCTGCTCTGCCAGCTAAACACGCCACAGTCAAACAAATGACAATATTAAATTGTAAGTTTATGGTAAAGCAATATGGCTATTTTGATCACATTTTATCACGTGTGTGGAATAATTAAGATTTTTAAATGTTTTTAAAAGATGTCCCTTATGCTCACAAAGGCTGCATTTATTTGATACAGTAAAAAGTACTATTGTGAAATAATATTACAATTAAAAATAACTTTTCTATTTTAATAAACTTTAAAATGTAATTTTTTCTTGTGACGATAAAGCAGAATTTTCAGCATCATTACTCCAGTCCTCAGTGTCACATGATCCTTCAGAAATCATTCCAATTGTTGATTTGGTCAATTATTATCAATTATAATTGGAGCTCAATTATTAATGATGGTTCTTATTATCAATGTTGAAAACAATGTTTTAGGTGCTAAATATTTTCGTGGAAACCATGCACATATTTTAGGATTCTTTGATGAGTAGAAAGTTCAAAAGAACAACATATATTTAAGATAGATATCATTTGTAACATTATAAATGTTTTACTGTCACTTTTGATGAATTTAATGTGTCCTTGTTGAATAAAAGTACTATTTATTTTATTTTATATCATAAAAATAAAAATATATAGAAAATATTAAGCAGCACAACTGTTTTCAACCTTGATAAGAGATGAGAGAGAGAGAGAGAGAGAGAGAGAGAGAGAGAGATATCTATACTCTGTGTTTCACAAACTGATTTACTGCATTTTGGGAAAAAAAATAATACAATTTTATAATAAATCTTTGAAAATCAAAATCTGGATTAAAATTTTTAATTTTAAAGTTTGAAACAGAAAATAGTGGTTTGCATCTTGCCACTTTCTTGGTAAAGAAAACACATTTTTAATCAAATTAATCAAAATGGATTTATAGCGTTTTGGAACCAAACTCTTCATATATATATATATATATATATACACTCACATTACTCAGTGTTTCACAAACTGACTAATTGCAAAGGTGGCATCCCATTTTCTTTCCACAAATGTTTGCAAATGCAGACTGCATGGCTAGATGCTTGATATTATGCACCTATGCCAATGGGTCTAATTGAAACACCAATACATTCCAATACGTTTGTCCATATAGTGTGTATATATGACAACAGAGCAGGAAAGGAATGGGCAGAAAAAGCAGGAAAGCACAGAGGCCTGAGGGAATTCAGTATGAAACACGGCTGTGGCACAGAGACGTGATATATAAGGTCTACCAAATTCATCCCTCTTTCATTAAATGTCTCTCTATAATCCTGCACCACCACCCTTGTAGAGCAAAGTTTTTTCAGATGAAGTACTCTATTTCTCTTTCTCTCTGTGTCTGTCTCTCCCGTCTCTTCAGTCGTCTGCTTGGATTAAAATGACATCTCCCCTTGAGTCTTAGGAAATGCCACATGAAGCGGTTCTTAACAAACCTGATGTGCAAGAGGGAGGGAGAGTGGATTGAGGTGTGGTGGTGGTGTGGGAAAGGATGGATGTGCCCTTCAGCAAAAATGAATTTTCCAATTGCAGTTAGTTCTGCCATGAATAAATAAACAAATGAATAATTGAGAGGGCAACATAAATAAATAACATCACAAACATTTCACAGGCACTCATAAGTTCGGAAGATAACTGGGGCTGAATGCTAATGACAAAAACAGTACATGGAGCAGAATCCAATGCATTATTCACTGCTCGCTCGCTCTGAAAAAAAGTCAAAATAAATTAATAAATATGAAAAAGAAAATCTCTCAAAGAACTCAAAACATCCAGTCAGCACTGAAGTGACAGGTTTGTCCCATTTATAACAAACAAGGACACTCTGCCAAACAAATAACTGACCAGTCAGAGATGTATAAATAAACCAGAACAGCTTCTACTTCAATTGACAGGTTATGCAAAAGTTTGGCTGCGAGCAGGTCCATCTTTATTCCTCTGAGTGTGTGAGTGAGAGTGGATGGACTGGACGGCCCGCGTCCTTGATCCTGCCCACATTCGGCCCACGGAGGCCTTTAGATGCACCACAACTGTTTTCAACACTAATAATAATAAAAAATGTTGGGTTACACTTTACTTGAAGGGGTGTGCATAAGACTGACATGACACCTTCATAATCATGACATGACACCTACATAATCATGACATGACACATGTCATGAATATGAAGGTTTTTTATGCATGTTTATGACAACTGTCATTAAGTGTCATTCGCTCAGTTATGTAATTTTTAATGCAAAGATGACATTGTCTGAGATGTCTGTTATGGGCTATGGTTAGGGGTAGGGTTAGGTTAGGGTTAGGTCAAATAATGTCATATTTGCATTATTCCCAGGGAACACACATACTGGTAAAAAATGTACAGCCTGAATGCACTGTAAGTCGCTTTGGATAAAAGCGTCTGCTTAAATGCATAAATTATTATTATTAAATTATTAATTATTAGAATTGTAATAATATTTCATAAAAGCAGCTTTGGTGAGCATCAGAGACTCTGAATCTGACCCCCAACTTTTCAATAATTATATACGTCACTGCATTTTCAATCTGTATATGTCACAGACACCAAAAAGACTAAATGTGACCCTGGACCACAAAACCAGTCATAAAGCGACTTAAGACTGGTTTTGTGGTCCAGGGTCACAAATGATTGACAGGTGTCCCTCACCTCCTCTTGTGAAGCGATCAGATTCTCCCGAGCGGCCTGCAGGTCATCTCTACTGGACACCTACCACACACACACAGCTTTTACTCTACAGGAACCCTTACCAGACACTGCTTTACCCAAGTATGTGGTGCGGTGTACCTCGTCCTGCTCTGCGAGCCGCCTGCAGTCTTTCTGCTGGATGTCACAGTTCAGCGCAGCTACTCTGGTGCCCAGGAGATTCCTCTGACGCTCTGCTTCCTGAAGCTCGTGCTGCAGCCTGGAGACTGTGGACTGCTCTTCTACCAGCTGTCCAAACACATGCACAGAAAGAGAGATGCAAGATTTCTTATTATATGTCAAGTTGCATCGCAGTGGATGTGTTTATAGATGTGCAGATCATTGAGGCTGGAGAGGGTGTAGCAGGTGGTGTATTGATACAGATCAGTCTTAAGCTCAGTCCATCTCTGATCTAGACCTTCTTGCTGCTTTTCTAACACAACACATTACACTGCACTCGTTTATTCCAACTGAGCAGCAGACTACTGGATAAACAATCAATAAAACTGGTAAAGCTCGTAAAGCTGATAAAAGCAAAACATGGAAAGGCAGGGTCGTGGCAACAGTTACATTTTTTGAAATTTCTAAATACTTTCTCGCATTGAAAATGGCCTAAACTTCTTGTTTCAACAGGGATACATCAACATATGAAAGAAAACACTTGTCAAGCTTATCATGGAGTTATTAACTAGAGTAATTTTTGCTTATTAGTATGGTTGAATTGGATCATCGAAGGTCAGTAACAAAGATATTGGATGATAAAATGGGATTAAATACATAAATGATATTTGTCTTATTTAACACATTTAATTATTGCAGGTTTGTATAATATTCTAAGTTTGCATTCGACTGTTTTTATTCATTTTGAGGAACACTGAATCTGTTTTTGTGCAGGTGAGATGAGTAAACACATGTTCATATTTAGTCTAGAACTACAGTAAGATCATGTTCACACACAACGCTCTGCACTTACTCCTGATTTCTGTCACCATGGCAACACCAGAGCTGTCAGTCAATACATGAGAAACAAACTGGCGTTACTTATTTGAAAAAGTAACTCAGATATGTCCTTCTAAATTAAAAAGTAATGCGTTACTTTACTAGTTACATAAAAAAAGTAATCTGATTACGTAACTCGCGTTTCTTGTAATGCGTTACCCCCAACACTGGTTATTAACACTGGTTGGCTGCTGTCAAACCTTAGCATTGGCAAAGTGGTAAACAGCTATTGTTAACGTCTATTTACCAACGTCTGCCTTGCAGAAAATCAGGTACAACTACTGGGCGACTGTCATGCATTTGACATTCATGAGTCAAGGTGATAAGTTACCCTCCACAATTTTCAGACTCCTACACCCTTGTGAAAAGATATAATAAACTCTGCATCAAAATCTAGTGAGATGCCTATAATATTGATTTGAAATATTGATTACAAATATAAATAATCCATTTAATGCTAAACATGTGTGAAAATAATAAATAAATACTTTTTCACCTCAAATATGTATATATACTGTATGTATATACACATTTAAAAGAAATTAACACTTTTATTCAGCCAGGATGCACTGCATTTGACTCTTCTATTCATCAAATAATCCTGAAAAAAAGAATAATGGTTTCTGCAACAATCTGAAGCAGAAAAATGCAGCTTTGCCATAACATTAATAAATTACATTTTAAAATATATTAAAACAGAATAGTTATTTGAAATTATAATAATATTTATGTAAACTATATAATAAAATATATAATTACTGTTTACACACACACACACACACACACACACACACGTCTGGTTTGCTATCCTTGTGGGGACTCTCCATAGGCGTAATGGTTTTACTACTGTACAAACCGTATATTCTATTGCCCTACACCAACCCTACCCCTAAACCTACCCCTCACAGGACACTTTCTGCATTTTTAGATTTTCAAAAAACTTCATTCTGTATGATTTATTAGCTTGTTTACCCGTGGGGACCTCAATTTAGGTCCCCACCGTGACACGAGTCCCCATGAGTCTGTGTGTATTCAGGTTTAAGTCCCCACCAGAATAGAAAAACAGGTACACACACACACACACGTGTGTAAAAGAACTTGCTGATCATGTCCTTGCAGTCTCTTTCTCAGTAATTCTATTTCCTGGCTCAAAGCTTGCAGTCTGTCCTCACACTGACCTATCTGACAGACCCTGAGCAGGCGTCAATTAAAAACAGCAGGGTTCAATCCAAGCAAAAGAAAGAAAGCAAAATAAACAAAAATTATCTTCTGTTTCTATATAAAAACAGTACTGGAATATGAAGTTCCATTATTTCTGTGCTCTATGCATTCTGGAAGCAGGGAAAATTGTCGATTTAAGGAAATGGTTCAATTTTTAGGGAGCGAGCGGCAGCCTATCTCACATTAAATGGCAAATTGGATAACGTGGGCTAAAACCACTTTGTCTGTTATTATTGTGGATTACACATAATTATCTGCTAAAGTACCATTCCCCCCTTTATTCCAAACACAATGATCCAACTTCATATAAAATATGATTCTAGCATCTTTCTGTAAGTGGATGTAGGATATAAAGCAGAGAATAGAGAATAGTCTAATCAAATTGCCTACAGTAATCATAAAGGGAAACACAAAACAAATTGAAGCAGCAGGGGTCCTAGGAATATATTGTAAGAATTTGGACTGGGCAAGTTGTGAGGGTTGGTGTTTAGGGTCATGTGAAGGTCACAAGCGAACTTGAGCTTGAAGTTTTTTTTTTATGTCAACATACATTTAAGTGATGATAAAGGGTGCACGCTTTAAAGGGAGGCTATAATTCAGAATTTGTATGAAACTTGTTTTTCAGACACACACACACTGCAAAGCTTCGGGAATGACATCTGCATATTTATGCTGGAATCACTCTAGAAATAGTAATGATTGACACAGTGATAACGATAGCAAAGGATGGAACAAAAATATATGCGAGAACACAAGCCTCCACAGACAGCGCACGTTCAAAGTGAGATCCAGTTCACGGACCAAAAGCACCTTTGGTGGCAACGACTCCAAAATGGACACATTTCAAATGACTGGATTTGGCAATTGGGGGAAAAAACAAAAACGCCCCCAAAAAAACAGAAAAAATCACTGAACATCAGAAAAGCTTCTGGTTAAAATGAAAGGCCATGAACAGACACTTAAAACAGAAGCATCGCCATTCAAATCAGCAGCAAGAGTCAAACAGTAGTCCACAGTTTAGTAAACGTTGGCAACCTCTTTAAGTAATTCTTGACTGTGCTGTATTGACTGCTTTGATTGACAGAGAGAGTAAAGTTATGGACACAAAATTATTTGAAGGCAGAACTCTTAAAGGGTTCATATGATGTTGCTAAAAAGAACATTATTTTGTGTATTTGGTGTAATGAAATGTGTTTATGCTTTGAATCGTCACATATTTGAATCGATTTTCAACCGGCTCGCAGTTAATCGTTACATCCCTACTGATTTCTAGTCGTGTCCATTTTTGGAAGGCCAAACAAAGTAGTTTCGCTTTCACAACGAAGCACAGTGTGTTGTCCAGGCTGGACTCCGCTTCGTCCACGGTGAAAGCCGATCCGGCGATACACAGCGCGAAGTTGATGTATTTCCTCAGCGACCAGCACAGATCTGCTCTAGGCATGACGAAGCGGATATCGTCCTCTTTTGGAAGGCCAAACAAAGTAGTTTCGCTTTCACAACGAAATACACAGCGTCTTCACGACATGGCGGCGGCGGCGGCAACAACAATACTACAGCGAGAATAAAAGTTATGCCTTCTTTCTTTGCGTGAACATTTGGGCGGCGTTATGCAAATCTTCCCACATCGTGACGTAGACATGTGGGGGTGTGTTAGAACAAGCCGTTTTAGGTAGGCATGGTTGACTCTTAACTTTTATAAAGAATACCTCTTTGGATTTGAGACTTTAGTCTTTGCAACTTTACAGATCTTCTTTATGCACCAAGAGCTTGTAACAGTCCAAAGAGAAAGGGAAAATTGAAATCCCATCATATGACCCCTTTAAAGTCGTCATGTAATGGAAGAAAAAACATCTTTCCCATATTGTGACGAATATCCGAGTGAAATGGATTATCGAAAAATGAAAAAATGCAGGGCAAGGACTTGGTCCAATCCATCATTTACTGATTGGTTGGAGGCAGATCTGAATGCGAGCTTGCAGTCAACTGGAAGAAAGGGGCGGGGTTTATGTGGACGAAATGATTGGAGAAGTCTGGCATATGTCAAAAGAGACAAGTCTGTCGTTTAACCGGACGATCAAGTTTTGACATTTTGATTATAATGATGATACCAAAAAAGTATTTATTAACATGCAAACTAAAACTAAATGGAGCATCAGGCTTAGTATAAGCCTGTAATTGTTTGCAAATTGAATGAAAACTAATTTACTGGCAATCAAAAGTGAACTGCTATTCTTCTGTTTCTTTCCTCTGTTAAATTGCAAAGGTCTTTGTGTAGGTGCAAATCGATGATTAAAAACCCTGTGTTCACATACATTGAACATGTTTTAAAGTGTGTGTGGAGGAAGGGGCGGAGCTCAAAAAGCTATTTTCCTATACTGGTGATTGGACACTGTGGAGCTCAGTTTATTTGGCCCCCAGTGTGCTGATGTGTGAATGAGGAGAGGTCACAGGGTCAAAGTCAGGAGACCTGTCGACCTCCACTAATCAGACTAATCACATAGCATATTAAAGTCCCTAGCAGAGCACAAATATGTGAATCGATTGACACTAAATTTGACCTTGACCTTTATGCTTTAATTTTAGTGTTTTGTCCCCTGCCCTCACCGCAGTGTGGAGTTTATCCACATCATCCTGCAGGCTGCGGTTCTTGTCCTGCTGTATTTTCAGGCTGTCCTGGGCCTGCTGGAGCTGTGTGTGTGCTTGCCAGAGGCTCTCTGAGATGGAGTACCAGCGCTCTTTCCATTCCTTCAGCTCTTTCTCCTTCTGGTCAAATCCAGCCTTCTCCAGCTCTCTCTGCAGCTCCACAATCAGCTCTTCCTGATGCCTGACCTATCCACACATGTACAGGAAGTTTCATCCATGCATGTACAGTGGCCACAAACAGTATTTGAACAATTTATCAAAATGCATGAACGTTATTGGATTAGATACGAAAATATCAAACCAAGAGCCATTTATCTTAACCCTATACAGGATACCGTATCATATTTGATATACAAATATCTAAGGCTTCTAAATTATCAACATGATCAAAACTTTGCTGAAAACCTTCTGTCGTCTTATTGATAGCTCATACTTTTTTGGCAAGTAAAAGGGCTTTTAATATAATTCTAAAAGCGTACACCTTCATGTCGTGATTCACATATCTTTTTTGCTGTAAAATCTTGACAGATTTTTATGAAGTAAACATATGAATAACTTTTATATTGTTAGTTATATTTCAAGATAAACACTTACCAGACTGAAGCAACTTAGGTTTACTTGATTATCCATGCATTATAATTTTTTTTTTTTGAAACATCACGTGATTCAACAGTTGAAAAACATCAGTTGAATCCTCAGTAAGGCATTCTATATTTATATAAATATTTTAATGAATGTTGCATCACACCGAGACTGATGCCCAAACACATACACAGACGAAAAGCAAGTTAGCTTAGATGTGACCTTGTCCATCAACTCTTAAAAACAACATCTAGAATCTTTAATGAGTTTTCCCAGACATCGTCTCAAAGAGCCGTGTGTTTTTTATGAACCGATGGACTCCTGTGGTGAAAGGTTCAGCGCATAAAAGTCCATGTGAATGAAATGAGCGTAAGTAAGTGTGAAAATATACTGTGGCAGGCACTTCGGTGGACCCCTCTATTAATCAAGCTGTCTGCACTCTGTTTGGAAAGTAATCTTGTCCGAGGAGCAGAGGAAAATGCAGAGGTAAGTGGCATTTGGAAGCAGCTGCTTTACGGAGGTCCCGAAGCACATGGAGGCCACACTGTAAAAATAAGAGCATCGCAGCGCTTGCCCTCAGGTTACCCTCACCCATACACAGGTCCAGCCTGCCTAAAGTCAAAAGTATGCTTCCCTTGTCTACATTTTCTCCAGCTCCACAGATCATGTGATGTCCATCGTCCGTCCAAAACAAGTGATTTGAGTGCTTGAAAAGAAAGGTCCACTAGATGGGCCAAATGTATCCACCTGCGCTCAAAGCCAATGAAGTAAACTGGCTTGTGCACTCAACTGTGAGCGAGACTGAACAGAACATGCAAAACAAAGCATACCTTAACCTCTGTCTGCTTCACTCTTCGGGGCCAGAATGGATCATAATGGAAAACTAGTCTTCCAACAATCAACTTGTCAATTAGTGAGGTTAGTAACCCCCCATAATAATAATAATTATTATTAATATTGTTACTACTCTTTTGGGGTCCACAGACCACCCAGGAATAATATAATAATATAATATAATATATATATATTTTTTAAGTAAAAGTTCATACTTACTAAAGAAATCATATGATTAACCATACTTATTTCATTCTATTGACAGCCATAGTTTTATGTTGCTTTTTGGGTCTGTATATCTAACAGCAGCAAAAAAATAGACTATATATTTAGATTTATTTTTTTTTACTTAAATTTATATTTATAAAAATGTGCATTTTATAAAAAGTTAGAAATTATATATTTCCCAGATAATATTTTACACAATACTACTACTACTACTACTACTACTATATATATATATTCATATACACAGTATAAATTAAAATATATAGTTTCCTTTATATTTTAAGAAGAGGGACCCTTTTGACTAGTCGATTTAGAAAACATGTCGTTTTGCAGCTTTTCATTAGTGGCCTGCTGAGTGGTGACTGGCGTCAGCTGTACCCTTCTGATGCTGAGATCTGGCCTCTGCAGCATATTAATATTAGATTTTATTTTAGGGCCAGTCATAATATTAGATGTTGTTTTGATCACTGGCGACTGTGTAGGCATGCGCGTGGGGTCTCGGTGTTAAGTGTCTAACACGTGCGGCTGCAGCTCTAATTCAAACTATGACAAGGTTATGACTGGCACTTAACTGCAGCGAGGAAGACATTGCTTAGAAGCTAATAGGCAGTGGATTGTTGAGAGACCTTGTCCTTGAGTTGCTCTTCTCCCAGTTGTTCCAGCTCCTTGGTCTTTACACAATCCTATAACAAGACAAAGGGAGAGATAAAGAGAACAGAGAGGTGATGTGGAATGAATGTGTAAGAACAACAGGAAAAGAACATAAAGGAAATGCACAGTCCTTCAGAGTGTCCTAGAGAAGATGCTCTACCTGATCTTTCCTCCATAGGTAAACTACAGGAGAATTCAACAATGTTTTTTTGTTATATTGTGTGCATTGACTGATATACTCTATTTTTCTTAATCTTTTGTAGTGGAAAACACACGCAAGGTCTCATGCAATGTTTAAGCATTAATCACAAGCAATGATACACACACTTCCCCTTATTTTCTTGGTATGTTTTGTAAAACTTAGAAGTGCTGTGATGATTAGTTTAACAGCTAACTAAGAATATAAACCCAAAACTAATATATATATATAATGAAGCAATAAAACATGACAAAACAGAAGGCTGTCTTTATCTAGGCTACATAGCAAACTGTAACTTTAACAAAACACAACATAATAGAAAGCTACCATAAACAAATGTTCTTAGTTTTGTACGGTTGATTCTAGCAAACAGGCTGTATGACTATTGAGTATGAAATACTCAAAAATAAATATCAATACTTAATTGTGTAAATTAAATAAAGAAGCATCCCAATTTGGGGTGTAAAAATGCATCAGTTCATTGAAATGCATAATTATATTAATTGCAGAATTTAATAATTGATTATAATTGCCCAATGATTTTGGTTGTGAAGGGAAAATCTGCTGTATTATTTGTTGTCAATATTCCACAACAATGCAAACAATGTCCCTACATTTAAATTTGTGTCCTCAGCATAGTATCATAATTTTAAAATGTAATAAAAAATGAATCAAATTAAACCATGCCCAAACATCAGCATTATATAACTGAGCAAATAATCATAATATGATATTTTTTCTCCTTAATTTGACTATGAGAGAAATTCAGAACCGAGATTCTAGACATTACTGGAAGCAAATGGAGAACGAAAGCTTTTCAGCAGGTGCTTGACACTGTGCTCAGAATACTCAAACCATAAAACTCAATCTACACTCTCAGAAAAAATGGTACAAAGCTGTCAAATGTAGACTTTAGGTACTAATATGTAATTTTAAAGTACTAATACATACCTTCAAGGTACTAATATGCAGTGCTGGGTGGTAACATTACATCTGGATTACGTAATCAGATTCCAAAAATTAAGTACTTGTAATTAGATTATATTACTTCTTAAATGCTCATAATCAGATTAGTTACTTTTTTATAGATTCCATGATTACTTATTATTCACACAATTGCAGCAAATTATTCATAATTTGATTTGTCCTCATTTTTTTCTCTTAAATTTTCCTTTCTAAAATTCTACCACTATTTGGAAAATCTTCCAGCATTTCATCAACTCACAAACCCCCTTTAATTCATTCATGCTAGACTAAAATGCTCAGACTTTTAGTTGACTAAAACTTGACTAGACTAAAAAGAGTATGAACGTGACTAAAACTAATAAAAACTAAAATGACAGTTTCACACAAAGACTAGACTAAAACTAAAATTAAAACAGGCCGCCAAAAACAACACTACATGAACCCCAGTTTGGGAAACCCTGGCCTAATGTAATGTTTAATACACTTCACGATGTTGATAACAAGGAATAGAATATATTTTGGGTCACAAATAATTTAAAAGTAATCAAAAAAGTAGTCATACATTACCTAATATGTGTAATCCAATAGATTACAATTAAAATTTCCGTCGTATAATTTCTAATCAGTAACAGACTACTATTTGTAAGTAATCTACCCAGCACTGCTAATATGTGACCCTGGACTACAAAACCAGTCTTAAGTCGCTGGGAGATATTTGTAGCAATAGCCAAAAAAACATTGTATGGGTCAAAATTATCGCTTTTTCTTTTATGCCAAAAATCATTAGGATATTAAAGCTGCAGTCCGTAACTTTTTTGTGTTCAAAATTTAGCGAGTACACCATGAATCCATTTTCCAAACCGTGTTTTTGGCTTGTCCTGAATCACTACGGTACACCTATAATCAGGGTTTAAATTGGGCCGGGGCCATCGGGGGCTGAGCCCCGGCACATAGACTCCAGGGCTCGACATTAACGCTACATTAAAGCCAGACAAGTAACATGATTAAAACATCAGTAACCAAAAATAACTATGTAAACACCAAAACGCAAGTATTATTCTGATTTTATTACATTTAGAGTAAGTGGCGAATAGTGGATATAGCTACTGTATATAATGCATCTATTGACGGAATAAGGTTGCGCTGCTGAGGCGAGGCTCACGCAGCCTCTCCAGGAGAAATCAAAATGCGCAACACAAAGAAACTCAGCATCCTGAGGTAAAAATTCAAAATGGAAAGATTTTATATTTAAAATACAGTTAGTTAGGCAACATCACACAACGTTTTCACCATTACGACTGTTTAATAGTTCTATAAACAGTTCAATAAGCAAATACAATAATATTAGGTCACTTACACATTTTAGGCGGAAACAGCGCATCTCACAGCAACCAGCCGATTTATTGCTGATTGATTCCGTGTTTTGAAGGAATCGGTTGAGTCAAAGTTTCATTAGCCTATGCATAAACATATGATGAATCTGCCATTTGAACAAATCATTTGAATGAACGACTCAATGACTCACTCATTAAACGCTCACTACTGGCACCATACTGGCGTTTTAATTTCGTTGAAAAGTATAATTTCCACCATCATTTCTTGTTTGTATATTAAAAAATATTTAAAATAATCTCATAATATTATTTAATGCAGTTGTATTTTTCAGTGTAAATGATTTAATTTGATAACGTATAGATAATCACATTATTATAATTGAATTCATAGACCAAATGTACGAATTTGAAATGAAAGTATTAATGAGATTAGTGAGAAAATGCCCTCTATAAAGGTAAAAAAAAAAGCCCTTGGATAAAATATAAAAAAAACACGCAGACTTATATGTCACAGCTAATAGAAAACTAATGAGAATATTGCTTCAGAATAAATCATATTTGCAAAAAAACTAAACACACACACACACACACACATAAATATAATAGCTCGATACCATAGAGCCCCCCCCCCCACATAACAAATCCCAATTTAACCCCTGCCTATAATAAGTGTTTATATTCGGACTATTTAGACTGGTTCGGGTAGGTACCGCTGCGGAGTAGCCCAGTGCCTGCGTGATTCGCCATAGACATAAACAGAGAGAAGTAGCTCCGGCTACAATGTTCTTCCGCAAGACGCACGCAGTTCTGTTTATTAACCGCTAGAGCGCCAAAAGTTACGGACTGCAGCTTTAAGTAAAGATCATGTTCCATGAAGATATTTTGTAAATTTCCTACCGTAAATATATCAAAACTTAATTTTTGATTAGTAATATGCATTGCTAAGAACTTCATTTGGACAACTTTAAAGGCGATTTTTTTAAATTGATTTTTTTGCACCCTCAGATTCCAGATTTTCAAATAGTTGTATCTCGGCCAAATATGGTCCGATCCTTCAGCTTTCAGATGATGTATAAATCTCAATTTCAGAAAATTGACCCTTATGACTGGTTTTGTGGTCCAGGGTCACATATGTACTATTTAGGTGTAAATAAGGTACAAAGATGTATACCTTTTTAGCTTTATACCTTAGGGTACCACCCCAGTGACAGCTTTGTACCTTTTTTCTGAGTGTATGGTGTGTAGGGTTGGGTATCATTTGTTTTTTTTTGCGATACCGGTGCCAAAGCGATACTTTTAAAATGGTTCCATTGCCTAAACGGTGCCTGAACCGATACTTATTAAAAAATAAATAAATAAAAATTCCCCCAAAAATTATGGATTGGCCACTAGCACTATAAACACATGATGTCTGTTTCATTCATACAGGACGCCAGAGGGCGCCCTCGCACAGAAAATCCACATATCCAGTCACAGAAGTAGCGAACTCATGACCCTCCAGGAAATCCCTTATATGGATAAAGGCATCTTATAGCTGTAACTGAGTAAACAGAACATATAAACGTTTTGAATGATAAAACAACGACAATAAACACTCGACTGCGACAATATAGTTTATCTGGGTTATTCAAGCCATCTCTGGTATTTTCATAATAATGAAGTATATTTATAATCCACTGCTAATCGATGTATTATTTTTAAAGTAGCCTATGGAACATATTTTCTGCCCCATTCTGTGACAAGAAGCCACATCAGATCACAAAAGGAAGCATTTGACTGGTGTTGTGGAGTAAAAAGGTTATACTATTCTCATTTGTTGGACAACAGGTTTAGAAATGTGAATACAAGGTAAGTTTAGATTTAGGCAGAGAACCAGAGAACAAATATTTCAATCGATCGCTCAGGCATGGCACCGAAATGAGGCACCGAAATCTGCGTTCTGATTCGGTTCTAGTACATACCGGCTACATGGGTACCGGTGCCATATTGGTACCGGGTTTCGGTACCCAACCCTAGTGTGGAGATAAAGCTGAGAAACCGTACTACTTAGTATGATCCCTGAGCTTCCTCTTAACCTGTGCATTAACTTTACCAATGCTGTGGCACTTAAAATGAAAGGTCCATCACAGTAAGCAGCAGATGTTCAGAGCTCAGGAGAGCTGAAGTAGAGAATGAGAATAATAGCAACGTGTAAAAGTGGCGAACTGTTCTATTTTATTGTGCTGTGTATAACACACTGCTGTGCTCTGAGCACTATCAAGAGTACAGCGAGAGTCTTGAGACGAATAAGGGTTAGACGTGTCAAGGATTTCAGAGACCCAGCAGGCCCAACCATCAGGGAGCCTTTTACTTTTAAAAAGAAATAAAACCGGGGGTACAACCTTACGTTTTCGCACGCCACATGTAAAAGTGTGTGTACAGGAGGCTATTAAGTAGGGTTTTGCTGACCTCTCTCTCCTTTTCAAGCAGTGCCAGTGTCTTGTCAACCTCTCTTTGGAGTTCATCAATCTGCAGCACTTTCAGCCGATGCTCTTCTTCCTACACACACACATGAACAAAGGCAACTGAAGGTGAGATGCACAGAGAGGAAAGTCTTCATTAAAAGTGTCAAGCGGATGCCTTTGCATAATGCATATCGCACCTTTGAGATGATCCATTAGCAGGTTGTGGTGTGGGAGCCGGTAAATAAGCTGACTTGACTCCATAGAAAAGACACAATATCCTCCCTTCCTTTCTTTATGAGTGGACAGTGGATGAACAATCAAAGCCCGGAGGGTTTAGATTAGCCCGAACGGGGCCTAGTCATGAGGGGACCTTTAACCCCCACCCCCATTTGTCCCTTCTACCCAGACATTGATTTATAATTTTAATATCTCTAATTTCCACCGTAGCGGCGCTTTCCAAATGTCATTTTCCAATTTGTGTCAAACCGTGTGACCATTTTTCTTAATACGGCTTATGACAATCTCAGCAGCAGGGCGGATATGCAATTCAGATGGAGTGTTGTACAAGCACGGACGTAGCTGGTTTGTGTGTTTATCTTTATCAACGGTTTGACGTTTTGGGAGGGGGTCGCAGACTAAGAAGCAGCTTGTTTACTACGCTGGAAAAAATTGGGTTTGCTGAGCAAAATGGCTGCAGGGGATGAAAATAATAATTCTGCCATAATTCTGGTAATTTACCGTAATAAGAGTTATGATGGCATTAATAATAATCTATTAAAATATGCATCAACATTAAGAGCAGAAAATGGAATGTGGGATGGGCTCGTGGTCGTTATATGAATATTTATGATAATTAAAACAGGGCCTCCCCCTTTTGAGCAGCGTGGACTCTTTTCACAGACTGTGATGATGCTTTTCCACAGTTATTAACCTCGTAAATTTAGCTACTTTTTTATATTTTCATTATTAAAAAAATAATGTATATTTATAACACTATAATCTGTGTTATATAACCTTGGCAATTTATTTACAGAAAACTAATTAGCGCTGTTGCTTGAGTGTTTCTAACACAACGTCTTTATGCAGTCTTATCCAAAATATAATTCTTGTGGTTGCGAATGTAAAATCTGGTCAATCTGTTGTCAATATTCCACTTACATTCCACAATATTCCATTCCACTTGTGTCTTCAGCATATTTTTTAACGTAGCATAAATTTAAATTGCAATAAAGAATGAATTAAATTAAACCATGACCAAACCTCAAATTAAATGATGTATTATATTACTAAACAAACAAACAAAACAAACAAACAACAAAAAAAGTGTCAACATTTTTCTTAACTATTTTCCTGCCAGAGTATATTTTTTAAGTTTACAGTCAACGGCTGCTTATTGGATATTGATAATATTCTTCAATATTTCATGACTCCCAGAATATTTTGTAGTGAGAATATGTAAACAGTGAATACTTCAAAAGAAAGAACAAAGCCTCTGTTACTACACAAACAAAACATTTCATTCTAGCTTCAACACTTGAATGTGGGTAAATTCTATAAAAAAAAAAAAACATTAAATGTTGTTGAATGGTTGGTGATGATGTTATCTTACTTGTGCATGAACAACTTCTATCTACTCCTATTGGATTACACAGATTTTCTTCTTTGCGTGTTTTTGGATCTGGAGATGCTGTACTATTTCAGAAGGTTTGTAACAGCGCCCCCTACCATATAACAGTGAAAACAGCGATTGCTGGAAAATTTTGTCAATGGCAGGAAACAATTAACACGTCTTATTATAATCACAGCAGCAGGGTGAATATGCAATATAGATGGAATGTCGTGCAGGCAACGGATGAACACAAGGTTTGTGTGTTCATTCGTTGGATGAGGCGAATTCGACATCTTTTTCTCTTCTGACCAATGTAATCAATCTCTCAATATTTTGAAACACTATGGTGGATTTTGTCTTTTGCAACTGGAGCAAATGGCAACACAACCATTATATTCGTTATAATTTCCGTTTGCCACTACAGTAGTTTACCCAACTTCTATAGTAGTTTAGACAACTTCCGCTTCTGAGAAATGTGAAAACGATCCATTACATCTCAGACTAATGGGAAGAAAGATTTAGTTGGCGGTACCCTGAGGTTGGCGCGGTGGAGCTCCTCTCTGACGCCATTGAGCTGCTCTTGAAAGAAGGATCTCTCTTTCTTCCACTCCTCCTCTCTTGCTTTCAGCTCCTCCCGTGCCCTCCGGAGCCAACACCAATCCTGTAGTTCCACACACACACACACATTATGAGTCATACAAATGTTTAAAAAGCAAAGGAAATGGATTCTATGATACCTCATTTTGGCCAAATTCAAAGGCACCGTACAGTTTTGTGCCACATACAGTACAGACCCTCAGCTAACAGTAGAACAGTTCACCTCTTCTGACCTTTACCTTCAGCCTTCATGCCGCTATTTACCCATGCTGAGCGACGCTCTGAGTCTTGCTTCTCAGTTGAAAAAAAAGGCAAAAAATAAAAGGAACAAGTTGTCGGAAATGAAATTTCAATTCATCCAGTCCCTTTATACACTGGTGCAAGAGCTGGCGAGGAGAGCTGGGAGATCAATAGTGTTTAGACAGCAGAGCAGATTTTCTAAGAGCCGAATCAATAGGAAGGAGAGAGGGAAAAATACCTAGGCTTTTCTTTGGGTGTTGCAGTAAATACGAACAAATCAGTGGCCTTAGGCTAAATGGATTGACCAGCCGTTTCCGACTCCTGTGCTGTAAATAAAGATCTGTTGGGAAAGCTCTGCCCGGGTCCCTGAGAGGGGGCAGAGATGGCCACCATGTCGAAGTGCTCTCACACACACCTGCACTAAACCTGGATGCACGCGGCGAACTGACACACGGAGGAACCGCCCACAGACGTGACATCATCAGCTCTCCCTGTGGCCAAACTCATTAATCATGCGCGGTGCTGATTCCAACAAAACACTTACTGGTGGTTTTTTTTTTTACTTTGGGTCTCACGGCTCTTTTATTAAAACTAACAGATTTATATACGAATAAATGACTTTATCATGCCCTCATTATTCCTTTTTGCTATTTTTCAAAGGCCTTATGTATGTATAGACTTGTTTTACCCTTGTCCCAGATCCAGACTATCCATCTTAAACTATGAAAATATGAAGTTGTGGCATCATTTTCACCATGAACAATTAATCAATGAGTCATTTCAGCATGACTCCTTGAGATATGAGGGGGGAAAAAAATAAAGGCATAAAGAACCAGCAATCAAACTAGCACAGATAAACAAGATAAAAAGGGCTGGCCATTTCATAAAAAAATTTTTTTAAATGTAGTTTCTTTTACAGAATGCTATTAAACACAATACATCATTTGAGATGTGTTGAGAATTAAAAATAAAATAACATCAAATAAAAAAATAAAATAATGTAATGTGCATGTGTCCACTGTTGTGCATTGTAGATAAGTTAACTTTTGAGAATGTAAAAAAAAAATGAGCATAGTTGAAAAATGATCCTACTATATAAAAATTTAAATGATTCTATTTTGCATTTTTGAGATGTCATTCAAATATGTTTATTGCTATATTATTATCAAAGGATATGAATGAAAATTTTAAAAATGTCTATAAAATTCAGAATGTCTTTGTAATTCAAATCTATTTACTTCATAATGTTTATTTGTTTAAAATTTCCAGCTCTGTATTAGATTCTGAACCGACTTTCAGTGAGGTCTCTCACTGTACATTTATTTTACATTTCCACCCAGCACTTCTGAACGATAGTTCTCTCTCCATTGACAGCTGTTGCCGTGAGGAGAGCGATCCTTAATGAAGAGGTTAAACTTGGCCACCTCCGTGACTTTGGTCTAATTACTGACGAACACCACAGGCTAGCGAGGCCAAACTGTGCAGAAGTGCATGATATATGAGCGCGCTCCGCACTCTTCAGTCAAAACAAAAACACATCACTAAAGCCAAAGCAATAAAAGTACCGTCTCGCTCCAAAAGAAAACATTAATCAATAAAATGGAGAGAAATGTGGAAATACAAGTATGAACTGTGTGCTATTGACCCTCGCAGCAGGACTGAGGGTGGACTCACTGACTTGCCCATGTTTGGTCAGGTTACATGAGATCTTCTTCTACAGTGTCATGATCAGCTAAATTAAAATAAAGTAAAATAAAATAAAAATAATTATATGTAAATAAATATAAATATGTCATTTTGTTATGTGCTTTAATCAGCTTTATTTTTGTGTTTTTTATATATTTTTATATTTTTTATTAATACTTCAACTTAAGACAGTCAAGTCATGATATATATATATAATTATATCTAACATTATTAAAAATGTTATTGTGTTATTGTATTATAGCTTTATTTTTATTTATTTGCTTTTTAATATTTCTATTTAGCTTTAATTTATTTTATTTCATACTTTTAGTAAATTTAAAGTATATATAAAAAGCTTAAAAAATAAGTCATTTTATCATGTGCTTTATTTAGCTTCTTTTTTATTATTATTTTTATTTAGCTGTAAATAAACTAAAACATAAAAATGGAATACAATGAAATGAAATAATACAATAAAACAATAAGAAAAAAAATTGAGTGGAAAAAAATATGTTCATAGTTGGGCGTATAGATGATACATCTCTGCTTTTTGTCATTCTTCAGCACGAAGAAGTACGAAGTTGAAAATGTTAACTTTCCAAGCTGAACAGAATGCAGAACATGCTAAGAAACTATTTTGTTAATGAACACCACTGCAGGAAGAGGCTGTGCTTGTAAACATGAGGTCTTTTTTGACTTTGTGGAGAGTCATTTGGTTCAGGATGTGTTTGCATATTCACTGCTGATGTATTGTGCTGCAAAGGTCACTGTAGATTGGGCTGAGACTGCAGAGGGACAGCACAGTTCAGCTAAATGCCCTCTCAAGAACATTACCTTAATGATACCATTCCTCACACCCTATGAGAGCCAGAGAGAACGAAATGAGTCAAAAAGGACATTCTTTGACCCAGATTCCGTGATTGGACAGAGGTGTTAAAAAGCACCCTTTAGTCTGCCTTAACCCAGTTAATATATATATATATATATATATATATATTATTTTTTACTTTTTTTTCAGAATTATTAAAAAATTATTCTCCTGTGTCTTCTGAAACACCCTGTGCACTGCTATGTAAATGTATGACCGATTTGTATGGCTTATCGAAATACAGAGATCCATTGGAGACAGTGATTTCATCTAAACAATCCACACTGTGAGGTCCATCTGCAGATGTTTCCTCAGGTCTGGACAGTAGCTTGTGTCCAGAGGCACTCTGGCATGCAGCCGCCCCGGGCCATTCTCTAAGTGCTCTTTACTCTGAAAACACAGCTGGTCTCCGGGGGCCAGGATGAGTGCGGGGCCTCCTAGACCCGCAAACAACACTTTGAATAATAAATCCATACATCATAAGAACACGTCAGAGCTTGATTCACGGCGGTAAAGAGCTGAGGTATTAGCTTTAATAACACAGGCTGGAGTCAGGCACTTGCTCTTTCCTGACAAACACGAGCAAATCAATTAATTCCACTGACATTCCCCCCGAAAGCACACAATATAAATTCCATGTGGCCACGACTTTCGTGTTTTTGTTTTAGGAAGAAGGGGCGAATGTGTGAGCCATTTCTTACTTTTATGCCCTAATTTCTGAAATATTCCACCGGCTAGCACATTTGTTTTCGTTGAGAACTTTGTCTTAAAAGGTTAAAGCATCTGGAGCGCACCAGAAAGCATAAGCATGTTATCAGAAAGCATAAGGTGCTCTATTCTCCTGCTGTTGATATTCTGCCTATCAATCCCCAGAGAATTATGCAGCACCGCTTCAAGGGTAAAACATAGCTCAGACTCTGAGCGTTAGTGCTAATGGCCTTAGGAAGGAATCAGAGGAGTCTAGCTGGAAACACTGAAGGATGACAATAATAGTGACAAGAGAACATTAAATCACTAGAATCTTCTGAAACAGACTCAATGTTTTGACGTCACCAGCTCGTTCATGGTCGGTAAGATTTTTTAATGTTTCAAAAAGACGTCTCTTATGCTCTCCAAGACTGCACTTACTTGATTAAAAATCCAGTAAAACATAAATATTGTTAAATATTATTTCAATTTAAAATAACTGTTTCCTATTTTAATATACTTTAAAATGTAATTTATTCCTACGATCGAAGCTGAATTTTCAGCATCGTTACTCCAGTCTTCAGTGTCACATGATCCTTCAGAAATCATCTAATATGCTGATTTGCTGCTCGAGAAACATTTCTGATTAATATCAGAGTGCGAAATATCACACATTAATTAATTTGATTAAATCCTTAGACATTTTAATAGTTATATAGATAAACAAACAGCAAATTAATATGGCAAATCTCTATTCAAATGATAGCTGCTTCTGTAAAATACAGTTTAGGACCAAAGTTTAATCACAGCAAGCAGTGATTGCTTAATATATTTTTGGAAACCGTGATGCATTTTTCAGGATTCTTCGGAAATCACTGAATTTATTTGAAATAAAAATCTTAGTTTACAACACTTTACATTAAGGTTCCATTTGTTAACATTAGTTAACTATAGTACATTAGTTAGCATGAACTAACAATGAAAAATACTTCTAAGGCATTTATGTCACATGTTCCCTGTTTTGTATGAGGACTTGTTCCTCCATATTTGTTACCTTGAGGATTTCTGAGTTCATTTGTACTTTTGCTTTGCTTATTAAACTCACTGCGTTTGGATCCAGCTCTCCCTCGTTTTTGAGTTCACCATTGAGTTAATTTCAATATTTACTTACACTTTATTATTACCCCTTAGCAGATTCTGATATTATATTAGGGCTGTCAAGTGATTAAAAAATTTAATCTAATTAATTTCATGTTGTGCAGATTAATTAATCGAAATAATTGCAAATTAATCGCATATCAATTTTGTCCGAGAAATTACCCCTCAAAAGATAATTTAATAATTTATTATTATTATTGTGTTAGATGAAAAAAAAAATGAACAGACATTACAAAAATAGCTTTAGAAAGAAACATTTTCATTCAACAATGCATTGCATAGGAATGATGGATATATGGTATACAATACTGTATATTTCATGATTTGATTCAGATTCAGATCCACAAGCTCTCTGTTTAATTCTGATTCCGATTCTAGATTCTTTCAGATACATTTTTGTTATAATCTCCATTTTGATTACATAT